GTCACTCTGCGACTTTCCGCGCAACTGTTTTGAATCCTCAAGCGTGGCTGAGAATCAATAACCAATCCGACGCACGAGAATAAACAGCGCTGATTGGGCTGACCTGTGCAACCTGCCAGAGCACGCGTTCTTCCCGTTTCCTTGTCAGTTTCGCTTTTGTCGCTGGGATAGAAATGCGGCTCGCAAACCCAAACCAGAGATTAGAAGCCTCGGAATGATAAGGTTCGGACTGGATTATCCCATCATCCCAACGGTTGCACCACATTCCCGCCAGGGGTGAGCTTACACACCAGGCTTGGACATTTTGGTGCGGTCCTTACCCGTACCGCACGCAACTAGCTGGAGGAAGTCCACTCCAGCCCGACTCGACACATCTCTTCATCACCGCGTGCCATCCACGGTCAACCGGATCAACGGCGAACCGCCACCCAACCAAGTTACCCCACCATCGCAAACCCGCAGGCCACCTATTCCCAAGCCAATCACTCTCGCACCTCACCTCACTTCGACCTGGTTCGGCTGCTACCCCTAACAAATGACAATTCGCGGTTTGGTTCACACCCCAGCTTCGGCACTTTTCGTGCCTGATCTTGCCGCACCCCAAACCAGCCTGCCTTACCTTGGCCACCCATTAGCGCTAATACGATTCCTCTCGTAACTCGCACTGCTGCTGCTGCTCATCGCTTTTTCCGGATAAAGCTCTATTGCTTCTCTCATTTCTATCGTGACAAAAGATTCCAGTGAAGGTTTCAGCCTAGATCTCAGGCAAACCTGTTATCCTCACGTGGGCCAAGCGACTTTTATATCCGAGTGCTAATTTATAAGGCTTGTATCATCTGGATCTGCTGCCGATGGCGGCCACAACATCAGCGCGTCTCCTGATATCGTCAACACCAGCTGCGATCGCGTCTTCTCGCCTCATCCCCACCGCAACCTGCGTAAAGCTGACTCCTTTCCTCGCATCCCCAGCCACTCAGCGGCTCTTCCGCTCCGCCGCGCAGCACCTCTCCGCCAGGCACGGCGCCAGACGCGGCGGTGCTCTTACCGCGCGATGCGATCTCACAGGCGGCGCGGGCCTGGGCCCCGAAGAGCTCGAAGCGTTTGTAACTGCCGTTAAGTCCGTGAGCGATGCGGCTCCACACGACGTCCACTCGTTAATGACCCTCGCTGTGGGACTCGGGTTACCATGTAACGTCATGGAGTGCGGCGACGCGATCTATCTCTCCACTCTCGCGCACGAGCACCACTTGACGGCGGCCGGCGCGGCGATTCTGCTTCAAGTCGGCGCGTATCTCTGGGCCACGCCGGGAGTCGCGGCGGGTTACTGGGACATGTTCGTTCTCGCAAAAATCGACCGCTTCTTTCGCAAAACGTACAAGCGATCGGACCTCGTTCTCGGGAAAAAGATTGGCGAGGGTGGGTTCGGATCGGTGTACGTCGGTACGCTCGCCAAGGACCCGGATTACAAGGTAATCGTGAAGCGCGCCACGGAGTTCGGTGACGTGGAGCTCTGGATGAACGAGCGTGTGCGGCGCGCGTGCCCGGACGTGTGCGCGGAGTTTCTGGGCGGATTCATGGTGAAGGGGAGCAAGGGGAAGACGGGCGCGGGGAACTTCTTGGCCCCCGCGGCTACGGGCACGTCTGACGAGGTGTGGCTGGTGTGGCGGTACGAAGGCGACTCGACGTTCGCTGATATCCTGACGGACCGCGACTTCCCGTATAACGTGAGTTTCTTATGTGTATGAGACACTTTGGAATGACAGCGTCGCTGATAGCTAACCTCTTGTCCTTTTAAAGTGACTCCATCGGTTGATTTTTCAACTCGTTTTTTTTACTCCGTTTCTTGACGCAAGTTGCATCGTATTTGTTTCGGCATGAGCAGATCGAAATGTCACTTCTCGGCAAGCAGGCACCGCCGGCGGACGAGCCACGTGGCCCGGAGAGGGAGCTCCACGTGGCACGCGAGGTCATGCGCCGTCTGCTGACATCCCTTGAGAAGCTTCACAGCCAGGGCATCGTGCATCGCGACGTCAAGCCCGAAAACATGATCTACTGCGCGGACAAGGGCGCGCTCAAGATCATCGATCTCGGCGCCGCGGCGGACCTCCGCGTTGGAATCAACTACGACCCTGACCAGTATCTTCTCGATCCGCGGTGAGTTGATGCAGAACGGCCCGTTGCCCCTGGACGTGAGCTTGGTTTTCTCTGTTTCTGGCTGTGGGCTTATTTCTCTCTGTCCTGGTTGTCGACTCGTCTCTCTCTGCGACTTCATGGCTTGTCAGACCACCATGAGCTCGCAACGAACCACTCTGCGCCCCTCCTCATCTTTCTGCACTCCCTCTCCCCTTCTACCAGCTATGCGGCTCCGGAGGAGCACATTATGAGCATCCAAACACCCAGCGCGCCCTTCCTCACCCCTCTCCACTCCTCCCTGCCGCCCCATTCTCCGTCCTCTCTCCTCCCCCTTCAGCTACGCGGCACCGGAGGAGTACATTATGAGCACGCAAACACCCAGCGCGCCGCCTGCCCCTGTGGCCGCCGCCCTTGCACCCATCCTCTGGCAGGTAAAACCTCTCCCTCCACGACCAGCTATCACATTCTCTATCACAATCTCAAGGCATCTATATCATGCTGGCCGGACAAAACAAACACTGCAAAATACCCCTTCTCGCCACCTTCCATTAACACCTCTGTCCCAACACCCCCCTCCTCTCTTTCCCCCCACTCCGACTCCCCTCTGCAGATGAACCACCCGGACCGCTTTGACATGTACAGCGCAGGCCTCGTGTTCCTCCAAATGATCTTCCCCTCGCTTCGCTCCGACACCGGTCTTGCCGCCTTCGCGCGCCAATTCAAAAAGCTCGACTACAACCTCACAGCGTGGCGCGAAAAGCTTGAACTCCGAGCCACCGCGGACGATATGAGGCGACTTGAGTTGCTAGATGAGAATGGCGGCCATGGCTGGGGGTTGCTAGAGGCGATGCTAAGGAAAGAAGGAAAGAGGAGGATCAATGCCAAGGCTGCGCTTGCGCATCCGTTTTTCCACACGAGGGAAGCGAGGTTGTTAAAGGAGATTCGGAATGGGTTGTTTGTGCCAGGGCCTGCGCATTTTGAGGGGGACGAGCCGCAGGCCTGGGTGACGGACCTGATGGCTAGGTCCGGCACGCAGGAGGCTGGTGGGTTCACGGAAGTTTCGCTCCAGATGTTCAAGAGGAACGAGCGGCGGCAGCAGAGGAAGAACAGGAAGCGAACAGACCCGTCCCCAGCATATGCCATGACTGAGGGTTCTGCGAGCACAGGGCAGCGGGACAACTCATGGTGGAACGTGCTTGAACCACCCCGGTGAACGGTGAAACGCGGAGATTTTGACTCGTGAGCTGCTTGTGGGTGTGCTGGTGGCAGGCAGGAAAAGCAGGGGTGGAGGTGGAGAGGGGTGGAGAAGGGTCCATGCTGGTCACTGAAGTGAAGGCGAGAGATCCCGGGGATGGAGAACTGGAAGGGGAAGGCCTTGTGTTTGACGCCATGGGCTTGTTGCAATGGGAGGGGGAGTGGTTTCATGCCAAGCAACCCAGCGCAAGCCAAGGGAAGAAGCTTCAAGAGAAAGTTTTGGTCGAGTTTTTACGTACATAGCAAGTTTTTTTGTTCCTGAATAAGTGGAGTTCGCTACTCAGTATATTAATGTATTTGTTTGTATGCATAAATCCTGTCCAGCCCACCCTCTCTCTGAAGCAGCGCATTGCTGCCAACCACTATGAAACAGCAAATCAACCTGCTCCCGCCACAGCCAATCAACAAGCAGGTAGATTGATGAATAAACAAATGAAGGTAATGACTTGTGCAACAACTATAAATAGCGATGAATAAACAAATGAAAGCAAATATTTATAGGGGCTTAACTGGGCCCATAAACAGTGGGATGGCGTGGCCAGTATGCAAGAGCAAACCAGCCTGCACTTGCACCAGCCAATGGGACTGCCTAACCAGTACTCTGCCTTCCAGGTTCCTGGTGGTGCTGCTGTTGCCAGCTGCCACCGCTGCCACTGCTGCTGCTCACACCAGCCAGTGGGCTTACTCAGTACTCTGCCTTACAGGTTCCAGATGATGGTGCTGGTGCCAGGGATACCTATGCCACACTCTGCTGATGCTACTGCTGCCGCCGCCGCCGATACCGCTGCTTCTGGTTTCCACTCCCTCGTCATCCGACCTGTCAACCCCGTTTCCCTTCTTGCTTCTCCCACTAATCACAAGTAAACTTTGAGACGACTCAAGAGTCCCATGCATCTTGCTGCTGCTCTCTTCACCCCCACCCCCCTCAACCAATCCAACAGAACCAAGTGTTTTTTGAGTTGGCTCAACACCAAATCCAATCCTGCTTTCTACCCCACTCAGGAACCCAGCTCTGCTCACAGACACCGTACCTGCACTCCCTGCTAACGACCCACTCACTCTCACCCTCTTCCTCTTCCTCCTCCCCCATTTCTTGTCGTTTCTCGCCCTCTCTTTTCTTGCCCACTCCTCCACCTCGTTCTCACTCGGCCCCTGCAACACACACCCAGCCTCCTCACCGCCCGGCCGCCAGTTTGACTGGATAAGCCAGCGCATGCCACCCTGCCCCACCATGTTGTAGGTGTACCTGTCGCCCACTGTCCGGATGCTGCTGGCAGGGCCGAAGTCAACCTAACATGGGCACAGGGGGTGTATGGTAGGGAAGCAAGAGAGAAAAATACAGGTGATTTGCCTGCGTATCTCCCACCATGTTGTAGGCGTACCTGTCGCCCACTGTCCTGATGCTGCTGGCAGGGCCGAAGTCAACCTAACATGGGCACAGGGGGTGTATGGTAGGGAAGCAAGAGAGAAAAATACAGGTGATTTGCCTGCGTATCTCCCACCATGTTGTAGGCATACCTGTCCCCCACTGTCCTGATGCTGCTGGTGGGGCCGAAGTCAACCTGACGAGGGCACAGGGGGGTGTATGATAGCGAAGCAAGAATAAAAAATACCTACAGGTGATCTGCCTGCGCACATCTCAATCCCACCATGTTGTAGGCGTACCTGTCCCCCACTGTCCTGATGCTGCTGGTGGGGCCGAAGTCAACCTGAAGAAGGAAAAGGAGTGGATAACAACAGAGGGGGAGGAGACGGGAGTGGGAGAGATGGGAGGGGAGAAGATGTGATGGGGGGGGAGTTGACGCAAGACACACACCCATGTTGTAGGCATATTTGTCCTCCACTGCCCTGACGCTGCTGGCAGGGCTGCTGGTTGAAAAAGTTTAGAACTCCGTAATTCATCCAACTCCTTGTAATTCACTCACCACACGCCTCCCCCAACCCCCCCTCCCCCCCTCCTCCCTCCCCAACCCCCTCTTCCCCATCCAACCCCCCTTCCCCTCCCCTCCTTGCCCTGTTCCACCCCAACGCACCTGGCACTTGTCAGCATTCTCCTGCCCCTCATCGTCAAACCATCCTCGGGTGAACACAGGATTCGTAGCCGCCTCTGCAATCTCATGCCCCACAATGCTCACCATCCCGTCCACCCCTCTCCACCCATTCGCACTCCCTCCCATCCCAAACCCTCTCCTGCACCCGCTGGGGCACTGCTCCTCCGCGTTCCCCACGAATGCGAATTTGAGAACCTTCCGGGAGACTTCCGCGTATGAGTGCCACCCGCAGTAGGTTCGGCAGAAGCCGGCATTGGGTCGGGAGGATCCGAACCTGACGTCCGGGCTGGAGAGGACGAGGTACTGGGCTCGAGAGGTTCGGGGGAAGGTTCGGTTGGCTAGCTGAGTAGCAACAACTGTGAGCGGGCTTGGGTGGAAGACAATAACACCGAAGGGGAGGAGGTTGGGAATGGAAGCAATAGGGGGCTGTAGATTAAAGGGAGAAAAGACAAACAAGGTGTGGTGGAAAGAAACACGGGGTTCTGGATAAGAGGGAAGACACGAAAAGCGTGAGAGGGTGTAAGACGACTATGAAAGAGGAGATCAGAGGAAGAAGGACATAACAGAAGAACGAGAAAGGAAGTCGTGATTGTTACAAAGTGCTACAGTATCTCACTGTTCCATACTCCTTGCATGTCGTTAGATACGTCTCTCCCCAGAGAGTACCTGTCCCGCACTGACCCTCCCATACGAACCTGTAGGTGCGTGGGCAGCAAAACACATGGATGGGATATTTCAAGAGTTACAGACGGTGAGAAGGTGGTGAAAGATGGCAGAGCGAAGAAAAATGAGGAGGGAAGTAAGTTGAAAACAAAAGATGGATGGGATTGAAAAAAAAAAAGGAATTCTCTCAAACTTGATTTGGTGGGACAGGCTCACCTGGGAGGTCACTCGTTTCCTGCCTTTTTGAGTGTACCACGTGTTGATCCTCCACCAATCCGCCACCCTCGCAAGATTCTTCTCCTGCCAAGCCAGTTGAAATACACATAAGCAGGAGCGAGAATGAGAGAATGCATGGCAGAGGCATGAAAACGCATTGTCCCTCCTGCTTTTCTTACATTGGGCGTGGTCGTCGTGTTAGAGAGCGAATGGACGAAGTTCTTAACGATGCGCATCTGGCTCTTGCGCCAGGAACCATAGAAGATTATATACACCGTAATTGGCTGAGTCATAAGCTTCCCGCCATGGTACTTGATTGTAAGCTGCTGGTTCGCAGAATCTGAAGTGCCAGCAGCAACGGCGGCACCACGGGCTACAGAACCACCCCTATAACCAACACCAAAAGCACTTGCACTAAAATTACCAACAGCAGCGGCAGCAGGAGTAGCAGCAGGAGCAGGTCCAGCAGATTTTTTCGCGGCCGCCCGTCTTCGCCATACAGTCCGTGCCACCGCCTCGTCGACAGTCACAATTTCCCGAGGATCCACGGCTCTGCGAGAATTTCGAACCGTCTCAGCCTCTCCTACAGCCACAATTTCCCGCGGATCGCCGGCTCTTCGAGAAAAAGGCTCGCTGTGCGCGACGACCGCACCTGATGCTTCCAGTTGTTCGTCGCTTCCGCTCATACTACCTCCCACCAGACGCGCGTCCCCGAGGCGCGTTTGCTGTTTAGCAGTTGCATCGAAGCTAGCAAGCGAGATTGGATCGCTCCGGAAGCTGCCAACGGATCGAGTGAAGAGTGGAGTGACACTGACAAGGCCTGACGGGCGCGCGTCGAGCAACCAGAGAGAGGAGGTTGCTGGCCTTGGGATTTGCGCGGATGGGGTGGATGGTAGGGGAAAGGCGAGGAGAGAGAGGAGGAGGATGTGATGAGAGCTGAGCATCGTTTAAACGCTAGAGTCAGGAGGACCTAATTGACGAGGGTCAATGTATCCTGGTGGGTCCGGACCGGACTCGACATAGTTGACGCCGAACGCGTGAATTGGCAAACTAAATTACGTACGGACGCCTAAGAAATAATGGCGTTGCAACCCGAGAAGTTCATACGAGAGCTAGAATATGTGAGCCGCCATGCAAAACGACCCAAATCTGAGAGAATTGATATCTACGGTATGATATTGAGGCGATGAGTTCAAGGAGGAAGCTGAAGGGATTGATCTGCACTGCATGATGGACTTCGAAAAGCTGATCCCGAGGGGATGGAGGCAACCAGCTGGTGTGTTGTTCGTCGGAAATCGCTGGGACTGATTCATGTCGTTCAGTTCGCCACTCCCAAGGTTTGCGACGAACAGAGGGGCCCGTGACGAACGAATTGCTAGCCTGGAATTGAGGGAGCCATTCGCGAATCGCGACTCGCGAAGCGTCGCTGCGGTGGTTGTTTGTAATTCCGCTACATTGCGAACCCCGCTAGGGTGATCATGGTATACAGGTTGTTGGGTTAGGTGGCACAGCGCTTCGACCTCCCTCTCTGCAAAATACACCGCAATTAATTAGAGTGAACTTCTATATTCATTTACGCAATTTAAATTGGGAGAACCTAGATTGAGGGGAAAATGCAGGGCCCGCCTGGAAGGCCCACATAGGCAAAGCTCTAGAATGCCTAAAAAGCACGGCTGCTACTCGATAACTAGCTAAAGTAAATAGACTAGTTACTATTATTAGACAGCGCTTATTCTGTGTGCCCCTTTGACCCTGGTACTAATGAGCCTTCACATATGGACATGGGCCAGGCTGAAGACCGGTTACGAATCATTCTGGCCTCCAAGAGCCTGTTGGCTGGCCGCTGAACCCGCAACCCCACGCTCCGACAGACGAACAGCCATGTGAAAGGAGGCTCGCACCTTGTTCCTCGCCATGTGAAAATCCTCAAATTGCTTAGCCAAGCTACGAGAAGCTCTTCCATTGCTGGCATGATCAGGAAGCGCAATTGCTGGTTCCGCTATGCGATCAGCCATGGCTGCTGCAGGATCGGCCCAGGAACTCTGTACAGCGGAAACCGCGAACGAGCAGCGCACGAAGGATGGAATACGAACCGCAGAACGTTCTCTCGAAGGATGAGCAGGTTCGAAGCAGCCGACAAGGGTTGGCGTGCTCTTTCCGGGCCTGTCTTCGCTGAGAGGTTTGGCCGGAGGCGCGGCGGGAAGCGGCAAATTTGTCGATGTCCGGACCTTCGTGGGACCGTTAAACGCCTCGAAGCGCTTTTCAAGGCTCGGATGTTCGTTGGTCGCAAGGCTCGGAAGCGACATGGCAGGCGAGGCTTGACATCCGCTAGAAGCGTGAGATACGGTACTATTTTCCATAATGCTCCGCAGATATTCAGCGGCATTTGTGCCTTTGAACACGCCTGTCGCTTCAGCCAGCGTAGGAGCGCAGGACACGGCGATCGAGCTGCTGATGGTTGTAGCGGCGAGGACGGTCGACGTCGCGCCGGGGTTGACGGAAGCCACGTAGCACGCCAGCGCCTCGACTTGACCGCCAATTTCGGAATTAAAATAGCGCGACGTCACCGGGAGTGATGGAAGTGGGGCGCTGCGCCGCTGGTTGACGTGGTCGCCGCACGTTAACGCGGCATTGGCGGCGCGTTCCGCGGCGCAACGCTGGGCGACGCGGAGAAGGGCAAATGAGAGTTGACAGGCGGCTGGCATGAGCGCTGACACCATGACTCTCCCCCCTTGATTGACCATTGCCGGAGCCGCCATCAGGATTCCGGAAAAGATATCGAGAAGGACCACCGAGGTGAAAGGACTGGCGAATCCAGGTAATAACCACTGGCGAACAACGTCCGAAGAGGTTTTCGAAGCTTGGTGTAGTAGGAATGGCCACTATGAAGACGAGAAGCACGGAGTCCACCAATTCCACTGAGTGCACTCAGAATAGTCTAGGTAATAGAGTGTCAGTTGTGTTGTGGGAGTAGCTTAGCTGAAATGTGGGTGCTGTAAATGGCTGGACTGTGCGGTCCTATATGCGTTGTGCTCGGGCCCCCAATGTGATGGCGGGGAATACGAGAAGCTGGACCTGGGCCCTCTGTTTGCACGGGCATTGACCAGGTGGGACTCGTTCCCCCGTGCACAACATTTTCCGGTTCCGGTGATGCTGTTGCCCTGAAAGTGGTCAGGCCAGCATTCAAAGGCAGCCGCACTCAGCTCGATCGGGGAAAGGGGGGAGGTCCAGCTGGGTCAGTGAAATTGGGGTGCAAGTTGTGCAATACGCCGTACACGAACCACGAACGATCTCTTTTTTTTAGCAAAAAGCATAGGGGCAGACCGATCTTGCGCGCCTCAATGACTTGAGCTGACTCGAAAGCGAGTCATTGGGCACAGTCGATGCCCGCTTACGACAAAATCTCACGTGTTAACAGCTGGGCTGCAGTGGCGATTTGCTCTGCTGGATTCTGCTTCGGTGTGACGAGTGCCGCGTTGGAATCGAGTGGAATCGTGGCAGCTGACGATTAGAGAGAGTGAATATCACATTATCTTTCCACGTCGTTCCACGGTCAACTTACATTTGTCCAGGTTGTACTGTAAACCAGCCTTCGGCGCCAATATGCGGTGACACAATACATTTTTTAGTTACTTATGTTTGAACATAGAATAAATTAACAATTTCTTCCATATACCATGGCTAGACATGATTATATGTATACGTTTCACTTGTGTATGCATATAGAGAATGCCTTTGGGCAATTCAAGAGATAATAAGTGTTTCAAAATGTTTAATGTAACATCTGTAATTGTTATGGATGCATCTGGACTGGTCAAGCTAAACTTGAAGTTCTAATTCTAAGCTCTGGATGCTTTTTGTTGTGAATCCCATTGAAACTGAGTGTACATTAGATTGGTGTACGCACAGCGTGGCAATCAACAACGGGATGGACGAAGTCGTCGTCAGACCACACTTACATTCTAGTCGCCGGCGAATGAGAGGCTCCGGAATAGACCGCATGCTTGCTGATTGGTTGTCGGTTGACCAATTCACCCACAAAAGAGGGAGCAACATAAACTGGTGAGTGCTAGACTGTTACGCAAATATCGTCACATCGCAAGTTCTCTTCGCCAGCTCAACCGTTTGGTAACACGCGTTCCCCCTTCCATCCAAAGCAGTCAGCCTTCACCGCAGGGCTTCCTTGATTCTGTCGCACGCTTCTGCCTTCTGCCTTGGGTATTTCTGCTTCTCCAACCCCCCTCCCCTTCATCCAAATGCTACGCGATCCCTCCGCTCACAATTATATGATTTCTCCAGACTCCTTACCTTCCATATCTGACAACAATATCAGCTCCCTTCGTTATCTTGCTGCCTCCTCGGTTACTTAGTCTTCGCGTTGCATTACCTGCCAGTTCGTCGCAGTTCTGGTGTGTAATCTCGTCTTCAGGTTAGCTTAGCTGCAGGACAAGCTCTGTCATTGCTGACAAGTCTCGGCCTTCTCGCATCAGCTCTGCCTTGCTGGCAAGGCAGTGGTTCAGTCTTGTAACCACCACTACCATTTTATTGTGAAGAAGAAAATTTTAAATCTGTTAAGTAGAAATTAAATCCGTTACATTTTATACGTCCTGAAAGCGGCAGCTTGCGACGGTTTGAGCAGCGCTAGGAGCACCTGCATTTCTACCTTCCCGTTTAGTGCGTTTTCAATCCCGCCCTGCAAGGATGCACCGGATGGTGAGTCCCCCCCCGGGCTTCGCGCCAGTCTCGAAATTGGTGACTCCTTCGGCAGCGATGATGGCTCCATCTTCCGCCGCGTCTAACGGAGCCGTGCAGGAGAAAGGGAATTATGCGGCTCACGAGAAAGCGAACTCCGTGTCTAGTCCTGATGGATCTGGATTTGACGGCAGCCCTAATTCCACCAAGGTAAGCATTATATATTTTCGTACGTTCACTAATAATAATAAAAAAAAGTCTCTTATCAATTCTTTTTTGCCGTTGCGTTTCTTCATTTTTTTTTTCTCTAATTTCATTTATTATGTGATTGCCACTGCTTTCAGGAGCCAGACAAGGCTTCAGCAGCTACGAGCGGTCTTACCGATGTAGCTTCTGCATCGGGTTACCACGCTAGGCGAGCTGCTGCGAGGTCGGTGGCGCCTCCCCATCCTCACCCTCATCCGACAGAAGACATTAGACCAATCCAGCCGCGTGGTCCGGACGGCACTCGCGGCTTTAAGTACGGCCGCGGGAAGCCTTTACCTGGGCCTAACGGGGTGCTGGTAACTGGTAACAGCAGTGCTCCTCCTTCAACCATCGGCTCTCCTCCGCAGTATGTCTCGGTTACTGGCGGCGGAGCCGGCGCTTACGCTGGCGCGGGGAGCGCGCTCAGGCGCGGGGGAGCCCGCGGGGAAGCGGAGAAGCTAGCGGGGGAGGTGGAGCGATTGGTGGGCGAGAAGGATAAGGTGGAGTCGGAGTTAGCGGAGGCGAAGCTTGAGGTGCAACGCCTGCAGCACGACCTCTTCGTCTCACGCTTCGAAGCCGAAGGGCTGCGGCGCCGCCAGCAGACCGCGACCGGCGGCGGCGGCGGCGGTGACGGTGCGGATGGTGAGCGGAAGGGCGGCAAGGGAAGCGAAGTTTCGGGTGACGGGGAAGGGGAGGGTGAGGATGGGGAAGATAAGGAGGGAAGTAAGGAATTAAAGCACTCGTTATCTGAGGCTAGAATGGAGATAGTGCGGCTCGAGCACGAGTTATTCACTCTTAGGTTCGATGCGGAGAAGCAGCGCGTTCTTGCGGAGGAAGCGGCGGCTGGAGCGGGCGGAACGGAAGGGGGAGCAGTAGGCGGAGCAGGAGGTGGAACCAAGAAGGTGAGCTCGACGAGGGATTTGGGCGGAGCGGGCGCGGACGCATCCGCGGAAGGGCTGGCGCAGAGGCTGGCGCGCGCGGAGGAAGCGCTGGAGGAGTCTCGGAGCGAAGCTTCGCGGTTGCAGCACGAGCTGTTCGAGGCCAAGTTTGAAGTGGAAAAGCTCAGGAGCGCGCAGGCGGACGGGCGCGCTGATTCCGCGCAGGCGGACGGGCGCGCAGCCGTTGATAAGGCGCTGAGGGACGGGAAGGGAAGGGGCGTAGGGAAAGGAGGGAAAGAAGGCGAGGAGAAGGAGAATGAGGAAGACGAGGTTGAGGAGAGTTTGGCGGAGTTGGAAGCGGTTGTAGCACGCGAGGGGTGTCGGCTCTGTGTGCGTCTGCTGGCCGCGTTTTCCGGCGCGAAAAGGCGCGCGGAGGCGGCGGAGAGGTTGATTGGGCAGGACCGCGCGGAACTTGAGGGGCTGCGGAATGGGCGGGATGAAGTGCGCGCGGCCGCCGCCTCTGCTGCCGCCGCCCTTGCCGCCGCGTCCGCCGCAGGGCAGGAGGCGGCGGAGAGGGAGCGGCAGAACTGGGAGCGAGCGGAAGAGGCGGAGAGAATGCAAGCCGCGAGTAACTCCTCCGCCGCAGCCGCGATTGCGGCAGCGGTGGCGGAAGCGGGGGCGCTGCGCGCGCGCTGCGCGGAGCTAGAAGGGCAAGCGTCCGCTGCGTCGTCCGAAGCGGCCGCCGCGAAGGAGCATCTGAAGCAGGTCGCGATGGCTATCAGCGAGCGGAGCCTGCACAGAGCTGCTACAGTCGCGGGTGTAGCAGGGCAGGACGAGCACCCCGCGCTACAGCCGTTTGGCGCAGCGCAGGGCGCGCCGGGCAGCGGATTGTGGGGCGCAGGGGATGTGGAACACAGCAGTATGGGGCGGGACGCGCGGAGGGACTTCGGGCAGGAGATAGGGGTGGGAGGCGGAGCAGGCGCGCAGGGGGCGCAGGGGGCGCAGGGGCATCAGCTATGGGACCCATCCGCCCTTGACCCTGCTATATCTGCCTTCTCCTCCAGCTCCCGTCCGCCCCCCTTCGCTGCCGCTCACCCGCCCCCGCTCCCGGGGCAGTCACTTGACCTACACTTGCAGCAGCAGCAGCAGCAACAGCAGCAGTTTTCCAGCAGGTTAGGATTTGGCGGCCTGCCCCCGCACATGTCCCCACCTCCCCACAGGCAGCACCCAGGCGCGCTTCCCCCTGGGGACGCCGCCATGCATGCGTTTTTAAGCGAGGCCCAGGGCCCTCCAGGGCAATCCGCGCCCTTAGGCGCGCAGTTCCCCCCGCCCTCAGGGTTTGCGCTTGGGGGAAGGATACCCTCCCCCGCTCCCTCTGGCGCCATGGGATTTGCGCCTTCCAGTGGGGGCATGGTCGCGGGTCATTTGGCCCCTCCCCTTCCCGTTGCTCTTACAGAAGAGGAGCTTTTGATGCAGTTGAGTGGCGGAGGGGTAGGGGGAGGTGGGCAGGGCCAGGGGCCGCAGCAACAGCAGCAACCGTTCCAGCAGCAGCAGCAGCAGCTGCCGTTTCAGCAGCAGCATCATCAGCAGCAGCAGGTACAGCAGGTGCAGTTTCAGCTGCAGCAGCAGCTTGAACCGCAACAGCAGCAGCCACAACCACAACAGCAGCAGACGTGGCAGCAGCAGGAGCTGCTGCAGCATCACCAGCACCAGCAGCATCACCACCACCCCTCACACCACCACCACCACCCTCACCACCACCAAAACCAACAGCACCAGCACCATCAGCACCACCCCCACGAGCAACACCAGCAGCAGCAGCACCAGCGGTCTTCCCTTATCCCCACGGCCGTACTCCTTGCAAGCAGCCCCGCTGAAAGCAGCAGTCCCGGCCATCGCGACGGCTTCTACGATCTACACCACCACGGTGCAACCGCCGCAAACATCACCGGTAGAAGCAGCATCAGCAGCATTGGCAGCACTGGCAGCAGTAGTGGCATGATGCTGATGATGGGTGGGGGTGGTGGGGGAGCAGATGCTGTTGCTCCCCCTCCTCCCCCGCCTCTTAACTCGTGGGCTGCTGGTGGTGCTGGGAGTGGGCTCTGGGGTGGTTTTTGAGTCGGCTCAAATGTAGCAGTGTCGGCAGCCTCAGCAGCTCGGCAGCCTCAGCAGCCTCAGCAGCATCGGCAGTGGTGTAATGGTAGCATGATTACGATGACGGGTGGTGGTGCTGGAACCTGTTGTTGGGGCTGCTGGACCGAGATGGTTTTGCTCACTGTCTGTCTTATCGGAGCTCAGATCCAAATTCCAATATCTCAGATTGTGTTGGTGGTGGTTTGTGCTTGCTGTACTGAGTTGTCGACAACTTTTTATTCACACAGTATAATCAGTTAGGCATTCCAAAGCACTTCAAGGTCATGCTGTGTTGGCAGCTAGGATTGTCCTGGAGTCGTGGTGGTTTGCACAGCCTTGAACACACTACCGTATAACATGTTACTCAGCTCAGCACGTCAAGCACTTCGTAAGTCTCGAATTGCTTACAGGTACCCACACATCACCGTACTGATCAGACATAAAAACAGAGAAGACTTATTACCCAGGAATCTTGGAGGTCCTACAAACAAGATCTGAACATGTGCTCATATAGGCTAAGGAAAGAGCAGCATGGGAGTTTGCTTTAGGAGAGAGTAGCATGAGCGCCCTGCGCTTCTTTGGCAATGCTGATAAAGACATCCTCCAGGGTGGTGTTGGCGATGCCCCATGCGCGTATCGATATCCGTGCCTTGGCCTCTGCTACCGTTTCAAACACGTCTGCCATGTTCACCTGGCAGGGAAGAGGGAAAGGGGAAGTAACAATAGGGAATGGAGGGGGTGGCAATAGCAAACACTTCTATCATGTTACAGTAGGGAGGGGTGGAGGGAGGGGAGGAGGGGGAAAGTGGAAGGAGGGGAGGGGAGGGGAGAGGAGGAGAGAGGGGGATTGCAGCAAGGAATTGCAATGGAGGGAGAAAGCAGAGGCAGCGGAGATGGACAGAGGAACCCAGCAATCTATCCCCAAAACTCACATCGGCAGTGGGCAGCTCAAACTTTTGCGTGCCCGCGAGGCTGTAGACCTTCTTGGCATTGGGCGAGAGCGACTTCGCCAGCTCAGCAGCCGCCTCCTCCTCGTCGGGCGGCGTGGTGACAGTAAAGACAAACGACCCGCCGTACCGTGCCGTCAGCTGCCTCGGGTTGCCAATGCACTCGAACTGGCCATCCACAAATATGCCCAGGCGATCACACAGTGCCTCTGCCTCCTCCATAGAGTGAGCTGGGGGAAGAGAAAAGGGAAAAAGGGAAGCAGGGGAAGGAAGGGACGTCAGCTGCCGCGGGTTCCCGATGCACTCAAACTGGCCGTCCACGAATATGCCCAGGCGGTCACAGAGAGCCTCTGCTTCCTCCATGGAGTGAGCTGGGGGGAGGGGGAAGGGGGAAGGGAAAGGGGTAAGGAGAAAAAGGAAAAGGAAGGGAAAGAAGTGAAGGTCAGCTGCCGCGGGTTCCCAATGCACTCGAACTGGCCGTCCACAAAAATACCCAGGCGGTCGCACAGTGCCTCTGCTTCCTCCATAGAGTGAGCTGGGGTGGGGATAAAGGGGGAAAGGAGTGATGGGGGCGGAAAGAGGAGGGGGTTAGCTGCCGCTGGTGCAAAAGGCATTCGAAGTAGCTGTTGAGCACGTATGCCCAGGTTGTCCGCGAGGTTCAGACGTATCTCAGGGAGCTGCGTGCGTGCAGTAGGCTTAAGCAAAGGAACAACAGCGGTAAAAGGCACTCGAAGTGGCTGTTCAACTCGTATGCCCAGGTTGTCACACAAAGCCTCTGCCATACCCCATCTACTGCAGGTCGACCACTCACTATTAAGAAAGCCAGAAACCGAACACCGCTTCCTGGAACCACACAGCACCACTCTGAAACAACATAGTACCACTCACTGGTGAGCACAATAGCTGAATCTTTCTTGGCCTCCTTGACCACAGCCCAGAGGCTGTAATGCGACGCAGGGTCCAACCCCGTGAACTCTGTGCCACACGCCTATGCTACAGCGTTGAACCAAACACCACCTTTTACAACCGCACAGCACCACTCACTGGTGAGCACGATGGCTGAGTCCTTCTTAGCCTCCTTGACCACAGCCCAGAGGCTGTAATGCGACGCAGGGTCCAACCCTGTGCACTCTGTGCCACTCCCCCTGTGCTACAGCGCGAAACCACACAGCACCTCCTAACACCGCACAGCGCCACTCACTGGTCAGAACGATAGCCGAGTCCTTCTTGGCCTCCTTGACCACAGCCCAGAGGTTGTAACGCGATGCTGGGTCCAGCCCTGTGCTGGGCTCGTCCATGTAGACCACCTGTGGAGGGGGGGAAGGGGGAGGGAAGATTGGGGGGGAGAAAGGGAATGGCAAGATTAGGACGAGCGTGCAGTCGATGCTGGGTCCAGCCCCGTGCTGGGCTCGTCCATGTAGGCCACGTGCCAGGGGGAGAGAAGAAAAGGGGGGGAAAGAGAACGTGGGAGACAGGGAGCTTAACTTCAGAGGCTTGACTCGAGAGTTGAGGAGGCGAGAGAGTAGAGGAGGCGAGAGAGTAGAGGAGGCGAGAGAGTAGAGGAGGCGAGAGAGTAGAGGAGGCGAGAGAGTAGAGGAGGCGAGAGAGTAGAGGAGGCGAGAGAGTAGAGGAGGCGAGAGAGTAGAGGAGGCAAGAGAGTTGAGGAGACGAGAGAGTAGAGGAGGCAAGAACCAAAAGAGAACACTTACAGGGGGCTTGCCGATAAGAGAGATGGCGACAGACAGGCGCCTCTTCATCCCTCCGCTGTACTTGCCGGCCTTCTTGTCAGCAGCACCCCCCGCGAGCAGGTTCACGCTCTTGAGTGAGTCCAGCACCGCCTGCTGCAGTGCCTGCCCGTGCAGGTTCTTGAAGCACCTCAAAACTAACTCACGGGGGGTTATCAATGAGGGAACACCAGGGTACTCACAGGAGGCTTGCCGATAAGAGAGATGGCCACCGACAAGCGTCGCTTCATGCCTCCACTGTACTTGCCGGCCTTCTTGTCAGCAGCACCCCCCGCCAGAAGGTTCACGCTCTTGAGTGAGTCCAGAACCGCCTGCTGCAGTGCCTGCCCGTGCAGATTCTTGAGTCGGCCGTAGAAGTAAAGGTGCTCCCTGCCTGTCAGCTGCTCCCATAGGAGGCTGGTAGGGAGAGGGAGAGGGATGGAGGAGAGTGAGGTGGGGGGAGAGAGAGTCCAGAACCGCCTGCTGCAGCGCCTGCCCGTGCAGGTTCTTGAGCCGGCCGTAGAAGTACAGGTGCTCGCGGCCTGTCAGCTGCTCCCATAGCAGGCTGGGTGGAGGGGAGAGAAGAGGAAGATAGAGTGAGGTGGGCAAGAAATAAATTCAACACAGCCTGCTGCAGCGCCTGCCCGTGCAGGTTCTTCAGCCGCCCGTAGAAATAGAGGTGCTCCCTTCCTGTCAGCTGCTCCCATAGGAGGCTGCGTGGGGGTGAGGGGGGGAGGTCGGTAGGTGAAAGAGAAGCTTACAATCCGAACCAATCCGATCTGATTTGGTGAATGAATGGTGTGCGTGCGCCAGAAGAAGAATCCACTCGTGATAAAGACACACTTACTCGTGATAAAGACACACTCACTCGTGCTGCGGGCACACTCACTCGTGCTGCGGGCACACGCCCATGATGGTGTAAACATCGTCCATCTCTTCCAGAATGTCCTTCCCCTCTATGAACGCCGTGCCAGAGCTCGGCTTAACCAGCCCAATCATCATGTGAATGCATGTCGTCTTGCATCGCATCATGGGATGCAAGGAGACACGGCCTGATGTGGCAGAAGAAGCAGAGCAGAAACTCACTCGTGCTGCGGGCACACGCCCATGATGGTGTAAACATCATCCATCTCTTCCAAAATGTCCTTTCCCTCTATGAACGCAGTCCCTGAGCTTGGCTTCACGAGCCCTATCATCATGTGGATGCATGTCGTTGTTCTGATGCAAGGAGAGAACACGGCTCGATGTGGCACAAGAAGCAGAGCAGAGGAACTCACTCGTGCTGAGGGCACACTCACTCGTGCTGAGGGCACACTCACTCGTGCTGAGGGCACACTCACTCGTGCTGAGGGCACACTCACTCGTGCTGAGGGCACACGCCCATGATGGTGTAAACATCGTCCATCTCTTCTAGAATATCCTTCCCCTCTATAAACGCCGTCCCTGAGCTTGGCTTCACCAGCCCAATCATCATGTGAATGCACGTCGTCTTGCCCGCCCCGTTCGGCCCCAGCATTCCGAAGCACTCGCCCCGAGACAGCGCCAGAGACATGGCCCGAACCGCCAGCTTCGGCGGGTTGCCGTCCCTCCCGGGGTAGACCTTCTTTAGGTTGTCGCAGACGATTGAATAGCCGTGGTCTAGCTGATCGCGCTGCAACAACTGCTGCACCAGCTCGCGCTGTTGGAAGAATAGGCAACAGGCACAGAGAAGGGGGAAAGGGGAGGAAGGCGGAATTGGAATTTGTGAGGAGGTGTTGCCCCTCGATGAACGCCGTCCCAGAGCTTCCAGCCCAATCATCATGTGAATGCATGTCGTTTTTCCCGCCCCGTTCGGCCCCAGCATCCCGAAGCACTCGCCCCGAGCCAGCGCCAGAGACATGGCCCGAACCGCCAGCTTCGGCGGGTTGCCGTCCCTCCCCGGGTAGACCTTCTTGAGGTTGTCACAGACGATTGAATAGCCGTGGTCTAGCTGATCACGCTGCAACAACTGCTGCACCAGCTCTCTCTGTTGGGGAGAGAAGGAGCAGGCGAAGAGAAAAAGGGAGGGGGGAAGGTAGGGGAGGGGGAGGGGGTGAGGAGGAGGACTTGCCGTCCCTCCCCGGGTAGACCTTCTTCAGGTTGTCGCAGACGATTGAATAGCCGTGGTCTAGCTGGTCCCTCTGGAGCAATTGTTGCACCAACTCGCGCTGTTTGGGGGGATAGGGAACAGACGAGGAGGGGATGGGCGGAAAAAGGTGAGGAGGAGGAAGCCTTGAACATCTGAGAGGACTTTAAGCCAACTGATAGCCAAAAAAGGGAAAAAAAAAGCCTCGAC